GCCATGCATCTCCTGGAGTGTGGGATGGTGGCCTGAGCTGGACTCAGAACAGGAAGGGAGTGGCAGGGTTCGTCCCAGGGCTGGCATGTCTGAGGGTGCTGTCTGTCCCCCAGGATGAGCCAACCACAGGGATGGACCCCAAGGCACGGCGTTTTCTCTGGAACCTCATCTTGGATGTCATCAAAACGGGTCGCTCCGTGGTGCTCACGTCTCACAGGTACAGAGGGGTTCTGTGCCCGTGATGCCTCTGAGCACCTGGGGTGCTATATGGGAGGGAGAGGGCTCCCCTGTGGTCGTGTTCGAGGGTCCCAGGACGAGGGAAGAGATGAGAATTTTGACTCCATGTTTCAGAAGGCTTATTCAATATATTATGATATTATATTAAAATGCTGTACTAAAACTATGTTAAAAAGAATAGAGAGGAAAGGATCCATCAGAAGCTAGAAAGGAAAGGAAGGAATTAATAACAAAATCTTGTGACTGCTCACAGCCGACACAGGTGGCTGTCATTGGTCATCAAGCAAAAACAATTTCACATGCTAGATAAACAATTCTCCAAAGCAACAAAACATGGAGAAGCTGAAGCTTCCTAGCTTCTCAGGAGAAATGATCCTGGCAAAAGGATTTTTCATAAAATATGTCTGTGGTGCTCCCCAGCATTTGGCTCCCCAGTCCCTGGCATGAGGAGCAGGGGGAGCCTAGGACACCCTCTGTTGCTTTTTCTCATCCCTGGTGGTGGGGCCACAGCACTTGGGTGATGGCCTGGGAGGCCCAGTTCTCCACCTACCCCCACCATAGCCCTGGCGTGGTCCTCCAATGCCCTCCACTGAACCTTTTCTTGTCACCCCAGCATGGAGGAATGCGAGGCCCTCTGCACCCGCCTGGCCATCATGGTGAACGGGCGGCTCAAGTGTCTTGGCAGCATTCAGCACCTGAAGAACAGGTAAGAGCCTGGCAGGAGCTCAGAATGCCTCCATGGGGCCCAGCAGCCTGTGTGTGCTACTGGGCAGGAGGGGGGTGGTTCCCCATGGTTGGGTGACAGTGTGGCATCCATGACAAGATACCAGCCCTCTGTGTCGGTGCTGCTTTAGAGGTGGGCAGGGAACGGGGTCACTGAAGTGCCCTGCCACTGACCTGGTGTCCAGTAGTGGCTGCCTGAGAGCATCTCCCCTTCCATAGGGTCATGGGGGAGCAGATGAGGGGACAGGTCCTCATTCCGTGCCTTGTTCCTGTGCAGGTTCGGTGATGGCTACATGATCACAGTGCGCACCAAGTCCAGCCTCAATGTCAAGGAGGTGGTGAGGTTCTTCAACCGTAACTTCCCTGAGGCTGTCCTCAAGGTGAGCTGCCCATCGTAGCCAGGCTGTCCCCTGCCAGCCCCCACTTCAGGGCACAAGCAGCCTTCACCCTCCACTGGGTGATGGGAGGGAGTCTGGGAGTGAGGGCTCAGTGCCCCCTCTGTGATCACCCTCCAGGAGCGTCATCACACCAAGGCCCAGTACCAGCTGAAGTCAGACCAGATCTCACTGGCACAGGTCTTCAGCAAGATGGAGCAGGTGGTGGATGTGCTGGGCATTGAAGACTACTCTGTCAGCCAAACCACACTGGACAATGTAAGACTGGGGACAGCATGGGCAGCTGGATGCTTGTCCCCAGGGAGTGCCAAAGTGCCAGGCAGAGTCTGCCTTTGGGGCAGGGGTTGGAGCTAGATGGGGAGCATGGTGGCAGCCACCACATGTCAGGATGCCCTGGGTCCTGACCTGGCAATGTGAGGGGTGGAGGTGCTTGCAGATACCTGAGTCTCTTGCCCCTTCCTCCTCAGGTGTTTGTGAATTTTGCCAAGAAGCAAAGTGACAACCTGGAGCAGCAGGAGACCAGCCCCAGCTGTGTCCTGCAGTCACCCCTGGAGCGTGTGCTAAGCCTGCTGCGCCCCCGCACTGCCCCCACTGAGCTGCGGGCCCTCGTGGTAGAGGAGCAGGAGGACCTGGAGACTGATGACGAAGGCCTCATCAGCTTTGAGGAGGAGAGGGTGAGAGGTTGTCCCCAGATCTGGGTGTTCCTGGTTCCACCTGTCTGTGCTACAGGCCCTGGAACTGGGTGCTGTGTCACCACAGAGCTGACACAATGGAGTGGCTGAGTCTGGGAGGGGTGGGGGCTCTCTGCTCTGCTGCCTGTGCCAGACTCTGGCCCCAGATGCCTTGAGTATGCTTTCTAAGTGGGCAGCCCCTGAGCCCTGCCTGTCTCCCTGCTCAGGCTCAGCTCTCCTTCAACACGGACACGCTGTGCTGAGACCCCGAGGACAACCACGTCGTCAAGCCACCAAACCCTTTTGGCCTCTCCCCTCCCTTTGCCCCGTGGAGCGGAGTTGCCACAGCTGGAGCCACATGCCAGGGAGAACACAGTGGGTACAGCAATGCCTGGATGGACCTCGGAAGCCACCACTGAGGTGGCTATTGCCCCCTTCAGCTCTGCAGCAGCGTCACTGCGTGGTGCTTGGGATCATGGTCTTCAACATGCCATGGATGGAGACTCTGAAGGAAGGGAAAGGACATGGCTTGGTGCCAGCACTGCCAGCCCCATTCACTTTGGGGCAGAGACACACAGGCCTGTGAGCGGTGCCTTTGGACACCCGTGTTGCACTCACTCTGGGGACCCTTGGCTGTGGGTACCTCCCCAGGCCTGGCCCTGTGGAGCTGGAAGGAAGGCTGCTTCCACATCACCCCCGGCTGATGCTGCCCTGGGCACCACTGGGGCAGGTGCTCTGGTCCTTCACCCATAACCGATTTCTGTCACCAGCGGGATGTCACTGGGAGTCTTGGCGCCCACCCTGGGGTCTGTTCGCCCTGGCCCTGCCTGGCCTTGGGCACTGGCTTCGTCCCCAGGCAGCAGTGCTGTTGCAGAGGCACATGGCAGCACAGAGGAGTATTTCACAGGGTATTTCACATGCTGGCACCAGCTGTTTCTCCCCTCTGCCCCTAATCATGTCCCTCACCCTCAAATCTCTGATCCTGCCTCCTGCCTGCCCTCACGACTTGCTTCCCCTATCACAGGGCATTGCTGCAGCTCTGCCACCTTTCTGCTGTGTCCCCTTCCACTTCGCTTTTGCCCTGACACTTGTTCCTCAGTGTCCAGCCCTGTACAGGAACCAGCTGCACTAGGTTCTTATTGTGGGGTCACTGGTGGTACTGGGAGAGGGGTTGCAGCACCTCAGTTTGGCTTTGGAAGCTGGTGGTGGGGGTGACCTTAAGGTACGAGGTCAGGACAGTCCGGGTGGGTGCTGGCAGCCTGGCAGTGGTGCCTGGGGTGGTGGGGAGGGAAGGATGGACTGCAGTAGTTGTCACTGGCCAGCAGCGGCCACCCCCTCAGTCAGCAGTGCCCCTCCTTTTTGTAGAGGGTCCTGCTGCCTTGTCACCCACAGGGACCATGGCTGGTGTCTGCAGCTCTCAACAAGCTGCAGTTGTGCCCAGAGGTGGACCTGTGATGTTGACCCCGTCCCCCTGCTGCTGGGTGCCAGAGCCTTTGGCAACTCCCCAGGGTGGCTATGCACTTTCCTGGGGAGCAGCCTTGGTCTGTCTGCTCTGATGCCCTCTCTGTCTCCCTGGCACAGGCTTGGCAGGAGGCCCTAAGCAGCACCAGGTACCTCAGCTGGCTGCTGTGGGAGGTGGGGAGAGGCTGGCTCTGGCCCCACTTGGGCACAGAAGCAGGGCCTGACCTCAACTGTCCCTATGCCCCCTTGTCCTATCAGGCCCATATATACCACCTGCTATGGATTGTGATACAATATACAGTATTTTCAATAGGGGGAAAACTGGGAGAAGAAGCTCTATTTTCAGATTTTTCAGACAATTTTTTTTAATGGCATATGGGAAACTGGCTTGATCTGGGATGGTTTGGAGGGGACAGGAGGGCAGCCCCCACCAGCGTGCCCCTGCTCCTATGCTGGGCACACTCTGCCTTCCCCAGGCGATACTGGGTGACAAGCCAGCTCCAAGTTTGCCCTTTGCCATCAGGGAGAGGGGATGATGTAATCTCTTGAGTCCCCAGCTGTCACCTTGGTGGCACCCTGGGGCACCCCAGGGTGGGCAGTGCTGCTGTGCTCTGGGCTTTATCCTTGCCCCATAGCTGCCACACTACACTCTTGTTCCAGGTGCCTGAAGGGCACTGGCACCCCAGTCACAGTGTCTTCCCTGTCCACCCAGTCTTCCCCCTGCCACCATTGCTGTCATTCGCATGGCTTCTGAGGGTCGCTGGAGGTGCCCATGCAGCCTGGGTGGCCACGGTGGCCTACCTGCTATGGGCTGGGTGCTGCCCGGGCACAGGCGCTGTGCTGGAGTCAGTCCAAGGGTGGAGCGGGAAGGTGGCACCCCAGGGCAGGGGTGGTTGCTGCCTTAACACTGTTCACTTCATTGAGTTTGGCCCCGCTTCCAGCCTTGCCTCCCCCTCCACATCCTTGGCCACCAGCCGCGGGCATGGTGCCAGTGCCATGCTCAGCCCCGGGCGTGGGGCCCCTGGGGGTGGGGACATCTTGGAGCTGCCTGTATATTGCTACCAAACAAAAAGAAGAAATGTGAAAATAATGATCGTTTTAAATAAAAAATAATAACTGAATCCCTTGAGGCTGTGTAGTTGATCATGGGGGGAATGGCAGGGCTGGATGCCTGGGAGGGCCTGGGCTGAGGAGAGTGGCAGTGCCCAGAGTGGGGGTGCAAGGTCCTACTAGGGGCAGGGTGTGCTGGGGCACAGCACAGGTCTGTGCCCAGTGCTTGTGTGGGGTGGTTGGGGGTACAGGCAGGAGTGGCAGCAGCTGGCAATGCCACCAGCTGCATTACCAGCCTGGGCTTGGCAGCAACCACGGTGGCAGGGCCCCATGGCAGGGCGTCCTGTCTGTGCCATGGGGCCAGGCGTGGGTGGGAGCGGGTGCACCCCGAGGAGGAATGTGGGCTGGGAGGGGCTGTGGTTTCACCTGTGGCACTCCGAGTGCAGCCAGCAGTGCAGCAGCAGCCGCCGTGCAGCATGGCCGAAAAACCCCAAATCCAGCTCTTCATCAAGGTGAGCAGGGTCCTCAGGTCAGTGCCCCAGGCCACGGGTAGCTCTGGCAACCAACCCTGGCAGTGCTGTGGTGGGGTGGCTGGGCTGCCCCTGCCCACTGCAGTGCCCAGATGTGGGGCACTGGGCAGGCAGGGTGGCAGATAGTGGGCAGTGGGTCAGGCACTGGGTAGGCAATGGGGCTGACAACAGGCAGTGGGGCAGGCAGGGGACAGCAGGCAGGTGGGGGGACAGGCAGCAGGCAGGACAGGCAGTGGGCAGCTTGGGCTCTTCTCCAGGGCACACTGCTTGCTGCTTCCTGCCCTGCAGGCACAGGGGCTGTGGGGGCTAAACCTGGGGAGGTTGGAACAGGTTTCCCCCGAAAGCAGGTCCCAGCAGCACAGCATCTGCCTGCACCTGCCAGGCCCTTCCCAGCCCCCACCTGGCCAGGGCAGTCTGTCTGGCTGTGCAGGCCAGGACAGGGCTCACCTGGGATTATGGCTGGAGTTGACAGGGCCACCAATATCTCTGTCACCTTCCTCTGGCACATCTCTGCTGCTGGACTGTCCACTGCCACTGCTACCCCTGCTGCCACTACTGCTCTCAAGCCCTTGTCTCCCTGGCACTGTGAGACTGCTGCAGTCTGGAGGTCCTCGTCCCCAGAGGGTGCCAGGGCCAGCACTTGCTGTGCCATGTGGCTGCTCTGGGTGCGGCACTGAGATTCTGGGAGCAGGCAGGGGCCAGGAGCTGGCATCTTGCCTGGCATAGCAGGTGCCATGGGCAGCAGCACAGCTTGTCAGGCTGGGCTGGGGCATATGCCCGATCATCTTCATCCTGCACCCTCTGGGGCGGACCCCAATGAGAACATGCCAGGGCAAAAGGGCAGCTGAGCTCTCCTTTTGTGCTACAGGCAAGTGAGGATGGGGAGAGCGTAGGGCACTGCCCCTTCTGCCAGAGGCTCTTCATGGTGCTGCTGCTCAAAGGGGTGCCCTTCACCCTCACCACTGTGGACGTGAAGAGGTGAGTGGTGGCCCCTTCTCAAGGGGTGCCAGCTCTGGGGCCAGGATCATGTGCAGGGTGGGGGTGTTGGTAGGTTCTCAACACTTTGGGAAGGGATGTGAAGGGTGGGCACTATGGGATGCATGGAGCTTTTTGTACCTCCCCCGGTGACCATTCGTGCTTGGGGGAGGTTGGCAGGTATTTCCTTGGGCACACACTGAGGCAGAAGGGGCCTGGGGGCACCACCTTTTGAACCAGCCTACCAAAACTCCCTTTGCCTGGGACACGTGCACAGTATGAACACACTCACACACAATGCCCTGCAGAACCCTGGACATGCCAGGCATCAGTGGTGTACCCATCTCCCACAGGGCGCTGGATGTGCTGAAGGACTTCGCTCCAGGTGCCCAGCTGCCCGTCCTCCTCTACAACGGCGAGCCCAAGACCGACACCATCACCATTGAGGAGTTCCTGGAGGACCAGCTGGGCCCCCCCATGTCAGTGGCTGGTGCTGCCTTGAGAGGAGGAAGGGGCCCCCTGAAAGAAGGGCAGGACAATCTGAGGGATGAGGGGGCTGACAGCACATGAGCCAGTCAGCCTCTCGTAGCTGCCTCAGCTGTGCCCATATCCCCACAGGTGCCCCAGTCTGGTCCCACAGTACCCGGAGTCAAGTCTGGCTGGGAACGACATTTTCCACAAATTCTCTGCCTTCATCAAGAACCCAGTACCTGCCCAGGACGAGGGTGAGGAAAGGGTGCCACACCCCAAAGCTCAGCCTGGTCACACTGAGCTTTCCCAGTCCCCCCACCCGCTCCACGGTCAGGTCTGTCCAGGCACTGCCCTCTCTGTGCGGGCCACTGTGGCTATGCCAGGTCTCTGTGGGAGGGCAGAGGCAGGTGCCAGCCTGAGCCAGGTGGGAAGAGGCTGACAGGTGCTGCCTGGACACCTGGGCTGGGCTGGCAGGAGGCCACAGCAGAGCAGGGCTGTACTGTGACCTGGCCACCCTCCCTGCAGCTCTGCAGCGGAGCCTGCTGCGGGCCTTGCTGAAGCTGGATGAGTACCTGAATGCCCCTCTGGAGCACGAGCTGGCCCAGGACCCCCACCTCCGGGTCTCCCGGCGCCATTTCCTTGACGGAGACCACCTCACATTGGCTGACTGCAACCTGCTGCCAAAGCTCAACATTGTTCAGGTAAGCCACGGCTATCCCAGCACCATGGCCTTCTTTCCCTGGCATCCCTATGCCCTCACTTTCCTCTTGGTACCTACAGCAAGCCCCTGCCCCTTTCCCGGCTGCTCTCTCAGTTCTGTGCCGCCCAGCATCCCTCTCCCCAGGAGACCTGCCCAGCACCATGCCCTCCACAGATCCCACTCCTCTCTGCATCCTGAGTGCCAGCCCTCCACTGTGCAGTGCCATGAATGTCCCTGGCTCCCTGCTACCCTTCCCAACTGGTGCCTGCCCTGGTGGTAGAGCCCTCCATGGCACAGTGTCAGGCAGGTCTCCCCCGTTTGTACCCGCAGGTTGTGTGCCAGCACTACCGCCACTTTGGGATCCCCAAGGACCTGCAGGGCGTGTGGCGGTACCTCAACAGTGCCAGTGAGACCAAGGAGTTCAAATACACCTGCCCCAACAGCCAGGAGATTATAGAAGCGTATCGTTCCGTGGTCCGGGCACCGCAGTGAGCCGGGCACGTGCCCCGGTGGGTGCAGGGCCAAGGCTGGGGTCAGGCAGGAGGTCAGCGCCCACCCTGCCCCTGCCTGCAGGGGCTCAGGAGAGCTGTGCCACTCACACCCAAATTCCCTCCACTGGCACACAGGTGCTGGCAGCAATCTGCAGTGCACTCAGCCCCTCTTGTGCCACCCACCCTTCCTCACAACCAGGACAAGCTCTGTGGCCCCTCGAGCACCAGGATGAGGGCAAAGGGGGACAGCCACACACCACAGCTGTGCCCAGCTGAGGGCAGGGACAGAGCTGGGGACAACAAGCTGCCCTGCAGCCACTTGCACAGGCAGGCACACCGTGCCACCCACCTGAGCAGCAGGCACCACAAGGTGCCCTCACACCTGCACCAGGTGTGGGGACCTGGCACAGCCATAGAGACCTAGGAACTGGGTCTTTATGGCTGTGTCCAGAGAGCTGGAGGGGAATAGCACAGGCAATGGGCACAGGTCAGTTCCCCCCAGAACTCACTATTAGGAAGCCCTCAACAGACTTGGGGGTTGTGAAGCAGGGAAAGCCCAAGATAAGCTTCAAAGTTCCTGGAAATCAATAAAAGCTTTGCAAGTAAGACCAGTGTGAGTCTGCAGTGACCACCCCAGCAGCTCCTCCCTCACAAGGGCAGGATGTGCTGACATCCTCATCCTCTCCCAGTGTCCAGCAAGGCAGAGCCCACCCTCCCAGCTCTCCAGAGGGATTGGCCGGGTTCTAACGACACACCCATCATCCCTCTTGCAAAAAGCTGGCACAGAAAGGAATTTCTCTGAGGCCCGGACAACTGCGTTCAGCTGAAACAGACCCAAGGCTACCTGAGAAAGGGAGAGGCAGAATGGACAGACACACCCAAAGAGACCAGCTGGCTAAAAAACCCTTTACTGGCAAGAAGCAAAGCACAGGTGATCTTTCCATTCCATAATATCAAAGCTCTATCGAAACTCCACCAGTTTATGGTAAGTGAAGTCAGGAGCTGGTCCCTGCCAGCAGGGAAGGGCTGCAGGGGAAAAACCCACCATGCTGGTGTCCCTTCTGCTTCATCTGTTCCCCACAAAGGGGAAAGTTGAGGGGTGGCTACCAGGTACTGCTGCCTCTGCTGTCTCCCTGGGTCAAGGCACTCAGCAGGTCCAGAGCAACAGGGACACCTCCTCACTCAGAGGGTCCACAGGGCTGTCATCAGGGCACAGGACAGCACCCATCAGGAGTCCTCGAAATTCACTCCAGATGGCGCCTTCTTGCTGGAAGGAGATGGAGGAAACATCAGAGTCATGAGCCCCAAGCCCTGCTGCCACAAAACTTCAGAGCAGAGCCCACAGGGAGCAGCATCCAGCCCCAGCACTGACCTTTTGAAACCAGGGTTAATGAGAGACTCCCCCGGTACCTTCCTTTTGGCTGGCAAAGCTGAGCCAGAAGCCTTACTCTTCCTGGGGCTGGGGTCTGCCTCAGTCAGGAACAGGCAGGACACAGATTACAGGTTACCCAGGAGCTCTGGCAGCCCTGCCAGTCCCTCCACGGCCAGGGGGAGCCTCCGGGAGCCCAGCCTGGCAGGACCAGCAGCCACAGAGGGCAAGAAAGGGCCAGACTTGGCCTCCTCTCCCAAAAGGAGCTGTGGATCCACCACAGCCTCCAGTCTGGAAGCACAGGAAAGCCTGCCCTCTTTCTGAGGCTGGCAATGCCCAGCCTTTGACCTGAGCGTCCCAGACACCCTGAGAGCCACCACAGTGAGCCCTGCCCATGCTCTGCCTGGAAGAGCACCAGGACAACGGGTGGCTGCTGCTAGCAGCCAGAGCCGAGGGCACTCAAGAGGCACTCATGGATACAGGACCAGCAGCCTCCAGGAGGGAGAAGACAAAAGATTGCAGGAGCAGTGCAGGTGCCCCTGGCAGTGCCTACCTGGCAGGAAGAGCTGCTGGTTCCGGGCAGCATTCTTCTCGGGGCTGCAGGAAGATGCTAACGTCTCCACTGCTACTGAGACAGGAGCCAGAGCCAAAGCTTGTGACAACACTCCCCAATTCTGCATGCAGCACTTCAAGCCTCCCCAGTGAGCTTCCTCCACAGCCAAACTGAGCCCCATTCTCCTCTCAGCACTTCTATCCAGACTGCTGCTGCTCCAAAATCTTTCCAGACCCCTCAGACAAAGATATCTGTGACTCCCACACTTAGGATGCTAGTGGTGCTGGCCATGAGGACCAGGGCTGTGTTTCCACACAGAGACACACCACTGTGTCCTCCCAGCCCAGGCAGGGTCTCTTCTGCCCGTGGAGGTCTGGTGCAGACCCTGGCCAGCTTTGAGAACGGGCCAGCACGACCAGGGAAGTGACAGGCAGCAGCTCTTCTGCCGGCCTACAGGGACCGGTGAGAAGAAACCACCTGGGGTGAAGCCCTCTCCTGCTGCGGCCCAACGGGGGCACCTAGGGCACCTTAGGTGGGAGTGACAATCCCGTGAAGGTGGCAGGAGCTGCTAGCCCTCCCCTCTTCTAAACCCACCACGGACCTTCCAGGCGCCTCTGCAGGCTCTCGATGCAGCCGGCCATGCCGAAGACCAGCGCCTGCAGCTGGCTGCGCGCCTCGGCGGCGGGCAGCGGGGCGAGGGCCAGGGCCGGGCACTGCGGCTCCTCCGGCAGCCGCAGCGTGCCCGAACCCGGGCCCAGGCTCAGCGCGGCGGCCCCGCGACCCAGGGCGGCCCTGCGGGGAGAGGGCGTGAGGGGGGCGGGAGAGAGGGGGTCCCGGGCGAGCTGGGGCCGAGGGTGCCCGTAGCGAGGAGGGTCCCAGGGCGGCGGCACCCACCTGAGCATCGCGCCGTGCTCCTCCGGCGGGCACCGCTGCAGAGGGAGAGAAGGAGAGCGCGTCCAACACGGCCTAGCCTGGGCCCAGATCCATCCCTGCCCCGCCGGCACCCCGGGTCCCAGCCCCGGCTCTCCCGCCGCGCCTCGTCCGCCCCGGTACATACAGAGCCGAGCTCCGGGCAGCCGCCGAGCTCCCCGGCCCAGACCTCCATCGCGTCGGTCACACTGCGGGAGGCAGCGGGTCAGGCCAGGGCTGCTCGACCCCTCCGCCCCCCGCCTGCTCCTTCTCTCGCCCCGCTCTCACTAGACGGCGCGGTCGGGTCCGCAGTAGCAGAGGAATCGGCCCGCCCCGGTTCGCAGCACACGGAACGGCCCTGCCGGTTCCGCCATGACCACGGCGGAAGGGGCGGGCGGCAGGGGCGGCTCCTGCCCCGAGCCCGGCCCGGCAGCCTCGCCATGGTGAACCTGGGCGTGCGGCGGGTGGAGGATGATGTGGCCGCCAGACACCCGGTGCGCCCCGCGGGGGCCGGGCTGGGAGGCCGGGAGGTGCGGGGAGGGCCGGGGCTGGGGTGCCGGGTGGGCCTCCGGCCCTGGCGCTGACGCCTCCCCGCAGGCGCTGCAGCAGTACGCGGCCTGCCAGTCTCACGCCTTCATGAAGGGCATCGGCACCTTCCTGGCAGGTACGGGCCGGCCCATCCACCGCGGCATCCCCCGGGCTGTGCTTGGCCGCTCCCCGGGGGCAGCGGGGACGTCCCGGCCGTGTCCGATAACCCCGGCCCCGGTCTCGGCAGGCAGCGGGGCCGCCTTCGCGGTGCAGAACATGGCTCGGCAGAAGCTGCCGTACAGCCTGCAGTGGAGCCTGCTGTTGGCTGCGGGTAAGTGCCCAGCCCGAGCGGTACGGACAGGTGTTTGCCGCTGTTATGGGCGCTCGTCTCTGGCTCCAGCCAGGGCCCCGGTCCCCAGGGCTCAGGAGGGTCCGCGGCAGCAGGTGCTGTCCCCACCGTGGTGCTGCTGGCACTCCCAGAAGCACCCCGGCCGCCCCAGCTGCAGGGTCCCTCGGAAGCTACGTGGTAACCAGAGCTGAGACACAGAAATGCTCCAACTTCTGGATTTATCTGGAGACAGGCAAGTCCCCACAAGAGCTCGCCGTGACTGGTGGGGTGTCTCAGCCCGCAGGTACAGTCATAGCTCCCTACTGCTTTGCCTGAGCTTGTTGTGCCTGGTTCTTCCCTGCTGCAATAATTGCTTTGCTGCTCCTGTCTTGTAATTTACCTGGTGACTGTGTCATTTCCAAAAAATCTCATATTATAAATCCCACACTGGCACCCTGCAGCCAAGGGGTGGGAGCAGGAGCACCCATGGTGGGTGGAGCTCCTTACGTGGTTTCATGCCTCCCCTGTGCCTCTGTGCACCTGGCACAGTGGGTTCCTCAGCAGGGCTGGTGATGTGGGCTGGCTGCACTTGCTGCTGCCTTCTGCCCTGCCTGCTTTGGATATTCATGAAAGCCAGCACAAAAAGCTTATTTGCTGGAAGAGGAAGGAGAAGATAAGGGATGGAGAGAGCAACTGAGGTATGGAGGAATTTGCTGCCCAGTAGGGTGGGCGGAATTTGAGGGGCATCAAGACAGCTGCTGCTGTACAATTCTTGTTGCTGCTCGCTGCTTTCTCCCATACATACCTTGAGCTCCCAAAGCTAGGCCAGCTTGAAGAGGCTTTACATGCTTTACCAAGGCTCTGTGGTTCTTTGTCTATGCTTGGCATACTCAGCAGGGTAGTTGGAGGTCCAGGGAACTTGTACTTTCTTGTTGCAGAAAACCTCCCTAGTGCAGAAGATGGGGACGGCACTGCAACACTGCTGAGGAGAAACAGGTACGGTGACGTGGTGGAGTAGCCAGCAGAGCATAGCCTGCCGTGCTCGTGTCCCACTTCACTCCCTCCTGTCTGCCCAGCCTGATGCTGCCCATGCTGCCCGTGAGGGCGGTGGGCTTGGTGACACTTCTGGAAAGCTCACAGGACTTGATCCTGCCAGAGAGAGCATGGTGGAGGCACCTCAGGGATTGCTGCCTGCCCCATGGCCTCTGCACATTCCCCTGGGGGTACAATAAAAGTTGAGAGCGGAATGCACTTGTTGTGGATAAGGTGAAGGGCAGAGCAGGTGGTGAATGTCAACCTGAGGCAACCTCTGCAGTGACTGTTGGAGCGGAGATCTCTGGTCCCTCTGTGGTGATGGCAGTCACAGTCAGCACTTGGATTGCTCTGAGACTGCAGGTGCAGACAGGTCTGGGCTAAGTTGTGAGGGCTGAGCTGTTGCTGTGTCACCTATGTTTCCTGAGCCCAGCCAGTCTCATGTCCCTTCCACCACAGCAGCAAGGCTTTTCCTACCTACCTGAACAGGCCTGAGCGGAGTCCCACAGCTGGGTGGCCTCTGGGGTGTCCCCTTCCCCTGCAGCAGAGCTGACCATGTGCCCAGGGCCCCTCTCTGCAGTGCTCACCTGTCACTGGCTAGTCCCAGATTGCCCATCCAGATCCATAACTACTTGGCAAGGTAATGGTACTGTCTCGAATCCCACGCACACAGTGGGGCATGTGGGGTTTTTCCATGTCAGACTCCAAGTCTTGACTAGGTTAATTGTCTGCTCTTGGTGGACATCCAGCTCTGATTCAGCTGCAGCTGAATTTCTTGGAAGAGGAAACCCAGCCTGAATTCTGGGAGCTGCCCAGGTTCTTAGAGCAGTGTTTCAGCTTCAGGAACCAGAAGTGCCTTCTCCATGTGTGATACAATAGACAGGCCCTGAACATCACCATGTGAGGGAGTCCCTGTGCTGAGGAGATGAGCCTGGGGAGGAAGCCGGGCTTGGAGGTTCACAGCATCCTCTGAACTGGAATCAGGTTTTCCCTGTGCAGAGAGATGGGGAGCAGCTAGTGGAAGAGCTGGAAGCAAAGTGCTGCAGGGAACAGGCACGTTCAGTCAAGCATGGCATTCCAGAAGTTCAGCTGGAGCAGGGAAGGGTGTTGGGAAGTGAGCAAACCCACGGAGCAGAGTTGGTGCTGCCAGCAGGAACAAAGAGGGCAGTGAGAAACTGCAGCTCCCTGCAGCCACTCCTCTCTAGTGTTTGTGGAATGTGCAGGGCAGGGAGAGGCTTCCCAAAGGATTGGAGAGCTGGGACCAGTCCCATGCAGCTGCCTGAGCACAGCGATGTGCATCCTGGTGTCTGGGCTGCCAGTGACTGCAGCAGCAAATGTGAGCTGCTCTGCTGTTGCCCTTGAGCATCAGAGCTGGGCCCTGGCAGTGGAGACTGCTGGCAGGTTGTTTTGCTGGGGGCTGTGGCAGTGAGGGACAGTTTCAGCTGCCTGCTTCCACTCCAGTATGAGTGGAAGCATGAGCTTCGTGACTGTGGCTGACTGGAGCTCCTCCATCTCCAGGTGGGCTGGGTCTGGCATGAGGTTTCCAGCCCACCTTGGTCTATTTGAGGTTGTCTCCAGGCTGGTAGAGCGCACAGAGCTGTGACCGTGTCTCAGCACTGGACAGTCTGCGAGGGCTGAGACCTTTGGGCAGAGCCTGACCTGTGGATGTGGCTGAGGGGCTTTGCCCCCATGGGACAGCCAGGCTGAACTGCCTGTTGCTGATCACAAGCCACTGAGCCATAGCAGTGGTTACAAAGGTTTATTTCAGATTATTTTAAAAAATCAAACAAAGCCAAACCTTCTTCATGTTTGTACATCCCTGTTCTTACTCAACTGGAAATGAAGGTCCATCCTCCTAGCTGCCTGGTGTGGGGTGATGCCAGGCTCAAATCCCAGTGCAGAACAAAGCCCCACAGTGTGGGAGCCCATCGGCCTGTGCCAGCATGGCCATGCACCACAGAGCTGCAGGAACCGGGGTGTGCAGGAGTCTCTGGCTGTGGCAGAGACAAGTCTGGCATAGGAACCATGGGGGTAGTGAAGGCATCACCCACAGCTGAGGCCAATGGCCAAGGAAAAGACTTTGCCTTCAGGAAGGTCAGTGGGGTTTGTACAAGAGCCAGAAAGACAACGTGAGATTCAGGTGATGCCCAGAGCTCCCCAGGAGGCAGGGCTGATGCTCCAGGGACAGGCTAGTGAGGTTGGCTATAAGGACTAGCGTAAGTAATATTCCCCATTCATACACATACACATGAAAATTAATCCTGTTTTTGCTTGGGTTCACTGGCTCAGTTCAGCTCTGGTGGCAGCAAGATGTCCTGGCTCTGAATGTCCCATTTCCAAGCCTGCTCCAGGGTCCATCCCTGAGTAGTGCGGGGAAACATTTACGCCCTTCTCCCACAGGATCAGTGATCCTCTTCTGTCCTTTCCCGCAGCTTGAGGGCAAGGGGAGGGCAAAAGGACACAGTTATTCTTCTGGGATGGTGTCAGGTTTTGGAGGAGGACATTGAGCACTCGCCACATCCCAAGCATTCAGACCGTGGAGCCTGCAGCAGGTAGGATGGTGCTGGTCCTGCAGATATGGCCCACCCTGTCCCTGCCATCAGATTATGCTGGACTTGCTGTGCCAGAGCAGGCAGACGGCAGTCACCAGGGATGTCAGGGTGGTGACCACAAAGAGCAGGATGAGGATGACCCAGTAATTGTACAGCATGCTTTTGTGGGAGTAGGGCTTCTCTGCTGGGATCATGTTGGTGAGGTTCAGCATGTAGCCCAGGGCCCAGCCAATGGAGGTTTCTCCTGCCTGAGGAAACAGCATGGCATGGTCACCATCCAGCCAGCACAGCTGCATGGGCCTCAGGAGACCACAGAATCAGGGAATCACTGAAGTTGGAAAAGACGGCTAAGATCATGGAGTCCAACCAGTAATGCCAGCACTGCCAAGGCCACCACTAAACTATGTCCCCAAGGGCCACATCTGCACATGTTCTAAATCCCTCCAGGGATGGTAACTACCCCAACTGTGGGCAGCCTGTTCCACACTTTCCATGAAGTAATTTTTCCTAAAATATAACTTAAACTTCCCCTGGCACAATTTGAGGCCATTTTCTTGGCCTGTGACATGTTACCTGCGAGAAGAGACCAACCCCCACCTGGCTACAACCTCCTATCAGGGTGTTGAAGAGAGTGAGAAGGTCTCCCTTGAGCTTCCTTTTTTCCAGGCTGAGTCCCCCCAGGTCTCTCAGCTGCTACTCATAAGACTTGTGCTGCAGACCCTTCTGGGACAGCTTCAGTGTCAGCCCAAGGGAGAAAAGTGTGTGGGAACCCACAGCTCCCTTGAGCCTCTGCTTGCCCAAAGGTCTAGCCAGCACAGGGACAGAGCAGTGACCATCTTGTGCTGAACTGGGTTCATCCCCTGGGAGTAAAACCTAGTATGCTCAGGCCAGTCCTGATCTCCTTGCACATCCCATAGCATGTGCAGACAAAAGTACCTCCTGCCCTGACGTAACATTCCAAAAAGCCTCAGCAGAGCATTATTTGGGATGGCTGCTGTCTTGAGGGCCAAGGAAGGGCTGAAGGACCTGATCCCATGACCACCCCAACAGACAGCTCAGCTGATTTGTTCCATCCCCTAGGAGATCCCTCCAAAAATTGAGAGTTCCATCCTGCCCCTGTTCACTGAGATCTTCCTTGATTCTGCTTGCCTCTTTTTCCATGTGGGGTCCTCTCTCCTGCAGGGTTCTTTGGCCTAACTCCAAAGAGATCCCGTGGGATGGGGATGTATTTTGGTGCTACCTACCTTCTTCTGGAAGGCAATGTTGGGGAAGGAGTGGTTGTTGAAGCTGTAGCCTTTGGTGGTGAGCAAATACACAAATGTGCTGACAGCGCAGTAATCTGGCAGCCTCTTTTCCAGCTTTGGGGCTTTCAGGAGCAGCTGGGTGGGATGCACAGAGGGAAAGAGAAGAGGGGTCAAGCCAGCAATGGCCAGGCTTCTGTCTGTGGCCTGAAGCTCAGGGTAGTTACATCTGTGAGGCCAAGGCTACCCCTGCCCACCTGAGCCCCCTCCCAGTCTCCCAGTCCCATGTGGGAGCCATCAATTGCCTTCCCCGTAGTCCACTGGTGCCAGGAAACCCAGTGACCTCCAAGGGCTTCTCTCAAAGCCTGGGTGATACCCCACATGAAGCAGCCCCCTCCTTCCATGATGCCCAGGGAGCTCACCTCACTCCAGCTGGTGGCACAGATGGTCTCTGCAGCATCCTTCAGGTCGCTGGGCAGGTGCACAGGTCTTCCCATCACAGTCTGTATGAAATCCACCGTGTAGAAGAAGGCAGAGAAGGCCTGATGGAGGCAAAGGAGCAGCTGTGAGACAGGCTTGGAGTAAACTCTCTGACCATGAGCAGACACTCTGGCCAATGTGGTGGGCACCAACCGCTGTTACAGAGCTGGGGGTCTGATTTTGCTGCTGCATGATGCTGGGGAGCTGCCCAGCAGCAGCCGAGGCACCACCCTCCTCTTATGGCACTTACAATGAAGTTTCCTGAAACTTTTGGCTGGAAAACACCATCAAAGGAGCAGTGAGAGAAGGAGCAGTTGGTGAAGTCAAAGAGCTTGCTGACATGCAGAGTGCAGAGGTTCCCGTTCCCAGTGCCGACCAAGGTAACAGTGGTGTTGAGGGCAAGGCTTGGCCGCTCCTTCTGCGTGCAGGGGCTGTCATAGATGCTGCTCAGCAACAGGCTCTTGTTGTAGCCCTTAGGCCAGCAGGGATGGGAGACAGTTTCTTGATAGCTTTCAGCCTGCCGGAGGAGGGACACATGGGGTGCATGAGCTGTGCATAGCACAGCTCCCGTGGAGCTTGAGCAGCCAGACACAGAGCAGTTGACAAAAGTGTCTCAAAATGGCTTGGGGTGTCTTGGCTCAGCCAAGGGCTGCATCATCTAAGGGAGATAGTATGAGAAAGCCCTGGGAACATAGGAAAGAGTTGGGGGCAAAACCCAAGTTGGCTGGTAAAGGTGTGCAGCTGGTCCAGGGCTCAGGGACAGCATAAACACCGAGGTAAGGGGCAACTCTGGGGTTGTGACAGCCAGCATCCACATCAAGCACACACTGTACCTGGAGGAACTTGGAGAGCAGCCTCTTGAGGACCTGGTCCCTCCCATAGCAGAGGAAGCTGTGCGTGTACACTTTGTATGCCTGCCCATACAGCTTCAGCATCACCTCATTTT